ACTGCAACACCTTGTTACAATGTAACACTCTGTAACACTACAACACCCTGTAACAAGGCAATACCCTGTAACATCGCAACACCCTGTAACAAGCCAATACCCTGTAACATTGCAACACCCTGTAACATTGTAACACCCTGTAACACTACAACACCCTGTAACACTAGGACATACTGTAACATTGCAACACCCTGTAACACTGCAACACCCTGTAACATATCATAATACACAAGTAGAAAAGTAACTTGTATCAACATATTCTCACAGCTATTAAGAAAAACACAATATTTATAAAGTAATCATAAACTCTATATTTGTTAGGAAGTAGATGTGATGTGTTATAGAGTGGTAAAGTGCCTCTCTACCCTCGGGAACTGAGGAACTGACTCTCCCTCACCTAGACCTTTATCAACATCATGACATTTACTTTCATTGGTCGTCTGTTTATTTTTTCTTACTCATTTGTCTTTTTCCTCTATGGTTATCATGTATTGGTTATCATGATTTGTGGTCATCATGCACTGTGGCTATCGTGCAGTGTGGTTATCATATAGTGTGGCCGGATTCAAGAACAATCACACACTCTCCCTTCTCTCGTTGCCATTCACTCACTCGTTTCTTGTTTTCGTAAATGACTTTCCGAAATAAACATCTGATGGTCTGAAGACAATAGCTTGAACCGCTTAGACCTAAAAAAACAAAAGGGCAATAATTATTATATCGAGAGACAGAGACACTTCGACGTATTCCATAATTGACTTAACTAATGATTGTGTTAATTAGCTTTTGGAGACGCAACAAGAGAAGCACAGTTGAGGGTGTGTCCTGACATTATAAGTCTATTACCTATACTCAAGCTAGGCTGACACAGTACACCGTGGGGTTTGTGAATCAACCCAAGGCGTCAGTCGTATGGGTCTGGCGTCATATATCACAGATAGGTTGAGACATATAACTTCTCCTGTGGTTTGGAGATTTGTGAGTCAGTTGTGTTTTTACGAGGTGATGGTGATATGGTTTTACTACTGGTACTGTCTCACTCCTGTTATCAGTCACTTATTACATCCTGAGACACGATAACTATCAACCCAGTGTGATAGCCATCCTAGCAACGCATACAGATATAATGTGTTGATCCCCGTAAAGAAAAACAAAGACGGTCATAAGAAAGTACATGTTCGTTGCTGACCAAAATATGGGTATTATAGAGTGAGTCGAGGTGTTTGGTGCAGTTCACAAGGCTAACGATCTGGTAGTAAGAGGGTGAAGAGGGCGTGGCCTATGACAGACCAGGGGCAGGACCCGCCCACCATGGAACCCAAAACACATCCCCCCCTCACTTTCAGCTCCCGACCTCCTCCCTCACCATGGCACTGAGTGAGTATATAAGTGGGAAGCTCTGGCAGTCAACAACACAGTTCCTCTCATCTCCCACAACATGAAGGTGAGCCAAGACTACACTAGTACATCCTATAGAGTGACGTTATTCATATATCATGTTACGATCGTAATATTTGCCGTAACACAATGTACTACAATATCACTTCTTTGCATAGTAGTTACTTCGACTTATATCAGATAGCATTTCAGTGTGAGTCCGGACGTTGAGAAAAGGATTAAATACATAAATGGTAAATCGAGTTAGACTCGATGTTAAACTAAAATAAGGATCGTTTTAAAGTACTGAGTTAAGTTTCATCTTGCTGCCTCTAGGAAATTATGAGAACTGAATATTATGTAGAGTAAAAACCTTTTTCTTTACATTTTAGCAAATTGCGTAGTAGCTAAAAAAAAATGTTAGTTCAGGTCTATATTACTGCATCAGACATAGGAAAGAGAAACTGTATTATGTGAGGCTGGTGCTTCTAAAATGTTGGTGTTGTGGTGGTCCCTGACTGAATATTACGTCCGCTGTTCCTCTACACAGGTCGTTTTTGCTCTCACTTTGGTGGCTGTCGTTGTCGCTGCCCCGTCCAGGCCCCGCTATGGTCACTCCCCAATTCCCTCCTACAGGCCTGCCCACTACAGGCCTGTTCCATCATACAGGCCCACTCCATCATACAGGCCCACTCCATCCTACAAGCCCACTCCATCCTACAGGCCCACTCCATCCTATAGGCCCACTCCAACCTACGCCCCAGCTCCTTCCTACAGGCCTGCACCATCATATAATGTAAGTCCCCTTATTAGTTTTATATTTTCTCTCAAGCAAATATAAAGTTATTCTGTCATACAAAGACTGTAAATATAATAATGCATTACAGGGTTCAATAGATGTGTTGCGAAGTAGAATATTTGTCCATTATATATAATAATATTTTTATTGAATCTTCCCCAGACTGTTCCTCACTACACCTATAACTACGCCGTGAAGGACGACTATTCCGGTAACGACTTCGGCCACCAGGAGAACCGTGACGGCTACGACACCCAGGGGTCGTACTCTGTGCAGCTTCCCGACGGTCGTCTGCAGACTGTGACTTACAATGTCAACGGAGACTCTGGCTACGTGGCCCAAGTCTCTTACCAGGGAGAGGCTCAGTACCCCCACTACCAGCCATCCTACTCCCCCGCCCCAGCCTACACACCCACACCCTCCTATGGTTAACTGATAACATATTACCTTGTTCATATTTATTCCTGACCAATAAAACGCAAGAACTTTACCCAGAAGTTATCTTTCCCTGATGTAGTGTGTAAGAAGGACAATTATCCACACAGCTATCGCCAGTCACTTAAATGGTGATCAGCTGCTAGTTACAAAAATATATGAAGTTTGTAGCTTTTAAGTAAATATAATCTTTACTGACCCAATTAGCGTACCTTACCCAATCTAAACTAACCTAGCCTAACCTAACCTTACCTTATCCTAATAATTCAGGTACACTTTGGTCTACAGTACATTGTGATATTGAAAAACGTCTTAAATTAAATAAAATCAATGATATAATTTACTAACTAATTTCCATTAAATTATATCATGTCATTTTTCCTACTAGTCTTGTTATTGTAAACCCGACCACTGATAATAATTTATCCTGGTGACTTGAGTGTAGACCTTCCTAATGGTGGTGAAGTGATGACTAATGGTAGTGAGTGTTTGTAATGTGTTTTGTCCTTACTCGTGAGGAAGGTGTTAAGGGGTGAGGGTGAAAGAGGGTGACAGTGAGAGGGGAAGAGCACTTAGTCTTATAAATATAGACTGCGCGGACGTGTCTCACATGAGGTGCATAGAAGAAAGAATAAAATTAGAAGAGTAAGAAGAAAGAAGAAAGAAGAAAGAAAAGAGCAGGTCCAGCCAAAACAGCAGAAAGGTAAAGTGACCATTTATCCCAACACCAGGCAGCCACACACCACCCACACCTTCCTACACCCATGTTGTAACCTCCTACACCTTCAGTCAACACCTTCACCGGTCACTAAGCATGGCAACTCTGTGAACATTCATACTCAGTCACCATGTAGTACAGTGAAACTCTACCGAGGATTTACACTATTTCTAATCAACTAAATTCTCCCAGATGCTATAGAAATGGTTAGTCTTATTACAGTATTATAACGATAAGTCAGGTTAATCACTAGGCCTCAGTTCATGTGCAACTATTTGCATCGTTACACTGCAATAATGTTACACTGCAACACCTTGTTACAATGTAACACTCTGTAACACTACAACACCCTGTAACAAGGCAATACCCTGTAACATCGCAACACCCTGTAACAAGCCAATACCCTGTAACATTGCAACACCCTGTAACATTGTAACACCCTGTAACACTACAACACCCTGTAACACTAGGACATACTGTAACATTGCAACACCCTGTAACACTGCAACACCCTGTAACATATCATAATACACAAGTAGAAAAGTAACTTGTATCAACATATTCTCACAGCTATTAAGAAAAACACAATATTTATAAAGTAATCATAAACTCTATATTTGTTAGGAAGTAGATGTGATGTGTTATAGAGTGGTAAAGTGCCTCTCTACCCTCGGGAACTGAGGAACTGACTCTCCCTCACCTAGACCTTTATCAACATCATGACATTTACTTTCATTGGTCGTCTGTTTATTTTTTCTTACTCATTTGTCTTTTTCCTCTATGGTTATCATGTATTGGTTATCATGATTTGTGGTCATCATGCACTGTGGCTATCGTGCAGTGTGGTTATCATATAGTGTGGCCGGATTCAAGAACAATCACACACTCTCCCTTCTCTCGTTGCCATTCACTCACTCGTTTCTTGTTTTCGTAAATGACTTTCCGAAATAAACATCTGATGGTCTGAAGACAATAGCTTGAACCGCTTAGACCTAAAAAAACAAAAGGGCAATAATTATTATATCGAGAGACAGAGACACTTCGACGTATTCCATAATTGACTTAACTAATGATTGTGTTAATTAGCTTTTGGAGACGCAACAAGAGAAGCACAGTTGAGGGTGTGTCCTGACATTATAAGTCTATTACCTATACTCAAGCTAGGCTGACACAATACACCGTGGGGTTTGTGAATCAACCCAAGGCGTCAGTCGCATGGGCCTGGCCTCATATATCACAGATAGGTTGAGACATATAACTTCTCCTGTGGTATGGAGATTTGTGAGTCAGTTGTGTTTTTACGAGGTGATGGTGATATGGTTTTACTACTGGTACTGTCTCACTCCTGTTATCAGTCACTTATTACATCCTGAGACACGATAACTATCAACCCAGTGTGATAGCCATCCTAGCAACGCATACAGATATAATGTGTTGATCCCCGTAAAGAAAAACAAAGACGGTCATAAGAAAGTACATGTTCGTTGCTGACCAAAATATGGGTATTATAGAGTGAGTCGAGGTGTTTGGTGCAGTTCACAAGGCTAACGATCTGGTAGTAAGAGGGTGAAGAGGGCGTGGCCTATGACAGACCAGGGGCAGGACCCGCCCACCATGGAACCCAAAACACCTCCCCCCCTCACTTTCAGCTCCCGACATCCTCCCTCACCATGGCACTGAGTGAGTATATAAGTGGGAAGCTCTGGCAGTCAACAACACAGTTCCTCTCATCTCCCACAACATGAAGGTGAGCCAAGACTACACTAGTACATCCTATAGAGTGACGTTATTCATATATCATGTTACGATCGTAATATTTGCCGTAACACAATGTACTACAATATCACTTCTTTACATATTAGTTACTTCGACTTATTTCAGATAGCATTTCAGTGTGAGTCCGGACGTTGAGAAAAGGATTAAATACATAAATGGTAAATCGAGTTAGACTCGATGTTAAACTAAAATAAGGATCGTTTTAAAGTACTGAGTTAATTTTCATCTTGCTGCCTCTAGGAAATTATGAGAACTAAATATCATGTAGAGTAAAAACCTTTTTCTTTAAATTTTAGCAAATTGCGTAGTAGCTAAAAAAAATGTTAGTTCAGGTCTATATTACTGCATCAGACATAGGAAAGAGAAACTGTATTATGTGAGGCTGGTGCTTCTAAAATGTTGGTGTTGTGGTGGTGGTCCCTGACTGAATATTACGTCCGCTGTTCCTCTACACAGGTCGTTCTTGCTCTAACTTTGGTGGCTGTCGTTGTCGCTGCCCCGTACAGGCCCCGCTATGGTCACTCCCCAATTCCCTCCTACAGGCCTGCCCACTACAGGCCTGTTCCATCATACAGGCCCACTCCATCATACAGGCCCACTCCATCCTACAGTCCCACTCCCTCCTACAGGCCCACTCCAGCCTACAGGCCCACTCCATCCTACGCCCCAGCTCCTTCCTACAGCCCTGCACCATCTTATAATGTAAGTCCCCTTATTAGTTTTATATTTTCTCTCAAGCAAATATAAATTTATTCTGTCATATAAAACACTGTAAATATAATAATGCATTACAGGGTTCAAATGATGTGTGGCGAAGTAGAATGTTTGTCCATTATATATTATAATATTTTTATTGAATCTTCCCCAGACTGTTCCTCACTACACCTATAACTACGCCGTGAAGGACGACTATTCCGGTAACGACTTCGGCCACCAGGAGAACCGTGACGGCTACGACACCCAGGGGTCGTACTCTGTGCAGCTTCCCGACGGTCGTCTGCAGACTGTGACTTACAATGTCAACGGAGACTCTGGCTACGTGGCCCAAGTCTCTTACCAGGGAGAGGCTCAGTACCCCCACTACCAGCCATCCTACTCCCCCGCCCCAGCCTACACACCCACACCCTCCTATGGTTAACTGATAACATATTACCTTGTTCATATTTATTCCTAACCAATAAAATGCAAGAACTTTACCCAGAAGTTATCTTTCCCTGATGAAGTGTGTAAGAAGGACAATTATCCACACAGCCATCGCCAGTCACTTAAATGATGATCAGCTGCTAGTTATAAAAATATATGAAGTTTGCAGCGTTTATGAGAATAGAATTTTTACCAACCAAATTAGCCTATCTTACCCAAAATAAACTAATCTAACCGTAACTAACCTAACCATACCTTACCTGATTCAGGTATAGTTTAGTCTACATTATGAGACTAAAAAACGTCTTTAATGAAAAAGAACCAATTTCATCATTTGTTGACTGATTTATATTAAATCATGTCAGGAAGGACTTAAATACTTAAAATCTCCCTAAAACAATATCGTGTCCCTCTTCTTACTAGTCTTGTTATTGTATACTCGACCACTGATAATAATTTCCCTTGCTGACTTGAGTGTAGACCTTCCTGATGGTGGTGAAGTGATGACTAATGGTAGTGAGTGTTTGTAATGTGTTTTGTCCTTACTCGTGAGGAAGGTGTTAAGGGGTGAGGATGAAAGAGGGTGACAGTGAGAGGGGAAGAGCACTTAGTCTTATAAATATAGACTGCACGGACGTGTCTCACATGAAGTTCAAAGAAGAAAGAATAAGATTAGAAGATTAAGAAGAAAGAAGAAAGACAAAAAAAGAAGAAAAAAGCAGGTCCAGCCAAAACAGCAGAAAGGTAAAGTGACCATTAATCCCAACACCAGGCAGCCACACACCACCCACACCTTCCTACACCCATGTTGTAACCTCCTACACCTTCAGTCAACACCTTCACCTGTCACTAAACATGGCAACTCTGTGAACATCCATACTCAGTCACCTTGTAGTACAGTGAAGCTCTACCGAGGATTTACACTATTTCTAATCAACTTAATTCTCCCAGATGCTATAAAAATGGTTAGTCTTATTACAGTATTATAACGATAAGTCAGGTTAATCATTATGCCTCAGTTCATACGGGAGGAAGACATCGATCTTGCTATGTTGACTTCAGAGACGACTTGGTAATACTGCAACACCCTGTAACACTACAGCTGCCTGTAACACTGCAACACCTTCTAACACTGAAATACCCTGTAACACTGCAACAAACTGTAACACTGTATAACCTGCAACACTGCAACACCCTTTAACACTGCTACACCCTTAACACTGCAACACCCTGCAACACTGGAACACCCTGTAACACTGCAACACCCTGTAACATTGCAACACCCTGTAACCCTGCACCACCCTTTAAAACTGCAACACTGCGACACACTGTAACACTGCAACACCCTGTAACACTGCAACACCCTGCAACACTGGAACACACTGTAACATTGCAACACCCTATAACACTACATACCCTGCAACACTGGAACACACTGTAACACTACAACACCCTGTAACACTGCAACACCCTGTAACACATTATAATACACAAGCAGAAATGCCACTTGCATCAATATTTTCTCACAGCTATTAAGAAAAGCACAACATTTTTAAAATAATCATAAGTTTTATATATATTAGAAAGTAGATGTGATGTGTTATAGAGTGGTAAAGTGCCTCTCTACCCTCGGGAACTGAGGAACTCACTCTCCCTCACCTAGACCTTCAGCATCAACGTGACATTTACTTTCATTGATTTTCCATGTTTGTTTTTGCATTTAAGTTTTTTCCTCTGTGGTTATCGTTTAGTGGTTATCATGATGTGTGGCTATCATGTAGTATGGTTATCAGGCAGTGTGGCTTTCATATAGTGTGGCCGGATTCAAGAACAATCACATACTCTCCCTTCTCTTGCTGTCATTCACTCATTCGTTTCTTGTTTTCGTGAATGACTTTCAGAAATTAGTCATCTGGTGGTCTGAACACAATAGCTTGAACCATTTAGATATAGAAAAACAAAACAGAAATAATTATTTTATCGAGAGACAGAGGCAGTTCGACGTATCCCATAATTGACATAACTAATAACTGTGTGAATTAAATTCTTTTCGATGCACCAAGAGAAGCACAGCTGGGATTGTGTGTCCTGACAATAAGATCAACATTCAAGCTAGGCTGACACAAACCAGGGCGTCAGTTACATGGGCCTATATAGTGTCACATATCACAGACAGGTTGAGACATTTAATTTCTGCAGTTTGGAGATTTGTGAGTCAGTTTAGATTTTTATGGGCAGGTGATGGTGATGTGGTTATACTACTGGTACTGGCTCACACCTGTTATCAGTCACTTATTACATCCTGGGTCCCGATAACTATCAACCTAGTGAGATAATCAACCCATCAACGCACACTGATACACTGTGCTGATCCCCGTAAACGAAAACAAAGGCAGTCATAAGAAAGTACATGTTAGTTGCTGACCAAGACATGGGAATTAAAGAGCGAGTCGAGGTGTTTGATGCAGTTCACAAGGTTAACGATCTGGCAGTAAGAGGGTGAAGAAGGCGTGGGTCATGAGATACAAGGAGCAGGACCCGCCCACCAGGGGACTCAAAACACCCCCTCCCTCCCTCCATCCCTCCCTCTCCCGGCCCCCTCCCTCACCATGGCACTGAGTGAGTATATAAGTGGGAAGCTCTGGCAGTCATCAACACAGTTCCTCTCATCTCCTACAACATGAAGGTGAGCCAAGACTACACTAGTACATCCTATAGAGTGATGTTATTCATATACTTACGCTACGATCGTAATATTTGCTATAACATAATGTACTACAATATTACTTCTTACATAAATTAGTTACTTCGAGTTGTTTCAGATAGCATTCCAGTGTGAGTTTGAAGCTAAAAAACGGATTACATAAACAGTGCGAAGACTTATACTCGATGTCAACCTAAACTAAGGAATGTTTTAAAATACACTGCTTAATTACGTTACAGGAATTTTACTGGCTGTAGGAAATTCTGAAAACTGAAGTATCGTGTAGAGCAACAACCTTTCTCATTATACTGTTTGACAAGTTTCGAAGTAACCAAAAGAATTATTTAGTTAATTAAATAATTATTGCACAAAAAATGAGAAACTGTATTATGTGAGGCTGGTGCTTCTAAAATGTTGGTGTTGTGGTGGTGGTCCCTCACTGAATATTACGTCCACTGTTCCTCTACACAGGTCGTTCTTGCTCTAACTTTGGTGGCTGTCGTTGTGAGTGCCCCTTCCAGGCCCCGCTATGGTCACTTCCCAACTCCCTCCTACAGGCCTGCCCACTACAGGCCTGCTCCATCCTATAGGCTCACCTCATCATACAGGCCCACTCCATCCTACAGGCCCACTCCATCCTACAGGCCCACTCCATCCTATAGGCCCACTCCAACCTACGCCCCAGCTCCTTCCTACAGGCCTGCACCATCATATAATGTAAAGTCTCCTTATTAGTTTTATATTTTCTCTCAAGCAAATATAAAGTTATTGTCATACAAAACACTGTAAATATAATAATGCATTACAGGGTTCAAATGATGTGTGGCGATGTAGAATGTTTGTCCCTTATATATATTAATGTTTTTATTGAATCTTCCCCAGACTGTTCCTCAGTACAACTATAACTACGCGGTAAAGGACGATTACTCCGGTAACGATTTCGGTCACCAGGAGAACCGTGATGGCTACGATACCCAGGGGTCGTACTCTGTGCAGCTTCCCGACGGTCGTCTGCAGACTGTGACTTACAATGTCAATGGAGACTCTGGCTACGTGGCTCAAGTCTCTTACCAGGGAGAGGCACAGTACCCCCATTACCAGCCATCCTACTCCCCCGCCCCAGCCTACACACCCACACCCTCCTATGGTTAACTGATAACATATTACCTTGTTCATATTTATTCCTGACCAATAAAATGCAAGAGAATTTACTTATTATTAACTTATCCGAATGTTATATCTAAATTGGACATATGCCTCAACACCACTATTAGCCACAGCCAGATAAGTTTATTCAGCATCTGGAAACCTCCAGGAGCCAAAGGGTTAAGTGATTTTCATTTTAAACAAGAGAAAGTAAAAGTTGTTCCCAAAGGCCTGATATCAATGCAGATGCAACTAAGGCTATTGCATTCAAAGAGGTAGTTTGGCCGGCACTGTACCTCATCACCTTTATTCCTTTACTGTAAAGATTGTCGCAAGTTACTCTTTCTGAGTTGAGTGGTCTCCGAGGACACGAGGCTAGTCCTGCATCCATTCGGACGTAATACTTGTGAAATTTATGTAAAATATATTATGATAGAGTAGTTTTGTTGGTTGTTGCTTAGGACGTCGATAAGAAGCGCCAAGACAGTGTCGTCATGCTGAGTCTTACAGTAGATGTTTCTTGTACAGGTTATTGTTACACTGTCTGGTGGCCTCCGCTGTGGCTTTCCCACCCACGTCCTGTCATGGTTATTCCTCTGCTCCTTCCTACAGGCCAGCCCAATACTACACCTCACCCACCCCGTCCTATCAACCACCTTTATTGACACCATTGTTGTATGCACGAAAGACTTCAGGTCATTCGTATACTGATTATTTTCTCTAAGGACCTCTGAGTATGACTAACTATTCCCTGGAGGACGAGTAACCCTACAATGGCGACACCCAGAAGTCTTATTATGTACTACAATATTCTACAATCATGGGCAGAGTATCGTAAGTAGTTGTATATAGGGTGTCCCCGTAAAATGTCCCTGCCTCCCTCATTCCCTGCCTCCCTCCTTGCCAGTTCCCTCCCTCCCTCCCTCCAACTCATAGTGTCTCAGGGAGCAGGCCGAGAGAGAGGCAGGGAGCAGGCAGGGAGGGAGGGAAACAGGGACATTTCTCTGGGATACTCTATATATTGTCATAATCCTGTACTGTACGTGTCTCTTGTTATTATACTCAACCATAATGATATTCACGGACAGTTCTTCGATTACTGATATTGTTTTTTTTTTGTTTTTGTTTTTTATAAATTAAATATAATTCATATGATTTTATACATTTCATTTTTTGTTCCATAATTAGTCACTATAGGTTAAA